ATAATTAAGTTCAGATTTTAACAAGGTAGTAGTTACCTATCCCTCACCCTCAGCCCTGTGGCAGGCAACTGTGCACTAGTTTCTAAAGCAGTTTGCAGACAGCTTGCAAGAATCAGGGTAGAAACAACAACAAAACACCCTGTCTTCTAAATTTTGAGGATCTGTGCTCTAATTTCTTTTTTCTTACCTCCACCACCAGCACTTTTAATTTTACAAAAGTAAAAGTCATAAATTTCACACAAAATACTATTTAGTGAATAGTTCAAACAAAAAATAAGGTTTGTATCAGGCACGCGCAACCTACAGCCAAGGGCCACATGTGTCCCAAGATAGTTATGAATGTGACCCAACACATTTGCGGATGAAAACAGCAATTGCAATGTCAAAAGGTTGAACACCTGGGTGTATATTACTATCACCATCTTGAAATTTCTGAGTAATAAAGTATACTCAGTAAAAACAATACCAACAAATTGCTATGAATTGTACCAATTCTAATGCATGAAGATAATTAAGGCCTCTTAGATGCCTTGGAAGTACTCAACATTCAGTATATTTTTAGAAGAAAAAAATAAACTATTGGGCTCCTGAAGAGATGGTTCAACAGTTAAGCATACTGGTTGCTCTTATAGAGGACCTGGACCTCGTTCCTTGGTGGCTAACAAGCATCAGAAACTCTAGTTCCAGGGATCCAATGTCCTCTTCTGGAATCTATGGGCACTGCATACATGTGTGCATGTACATATAAGCAGGTTCATACACATACACTCACACACATAAACTAAAATTTTTTGATTTTTAGTTGGACATGGTGACATATACCTTTAATCCCAGCACTTGGGAGGTAGAGGCAGGCGGATCTCTGTGAGTTCAAGGCCAGCCTGGTCTACATAGTGAGTTCCAGACCAGCTGGGGCTACAGGAAGACCCTATCTCAAAAAGACAAAAAAAAATTTTTTTTGAATTTTTAAATAAAATTACAGATTGTGCTGAACAGAAAATTGACCTGATAGGAAAAGATCCTATACATTAATTTTCATCCTGCTACTACTAATACTCTTACACTAAATTTCTCCACATTTAACTGATGCACAAAATTAATATATAATCTCATTCTGCAAGCTCCAATAGTGATAAATACATAGACATTTACTTGCTAGCACTGGGTGGGAACTCTTGATCCCTCAAGTTTATTAACCACATCAACCAAGAAATTGCCTAATGATACAAATGGTTTAGGCTACATCACTGAAAAGTGATAGGATGGAACATTTTAGAGAATGGCTTATTTTTATTTTGTTTTGTTTTTTAATTATTTTTATTTTATGTGTATGAGTGTATTGCCTGCATGTATGTAAGTATACCCATGTCATGCAATGTCCTTGGTGGTCAGAAGAGGGCACTGGATCACCTGGAACTAGAGTTACAGATGGGTGTCAGCTGCCATGTGGGTGCTGAAAATTGAACCCAGGTCTTCTCTCCAGCACCCCCCGACACACAAAATTTTAAAAGCAAATTTGAGTAGGCAGAACAATAACTAGAAGACAGGACAATTGATATTACTCAGTCTGAATAACAGAAATTAGAAATTTAGAAAGATAAAAGATTAAAGAAGAAAATAAGAGACTAGCAAGTGGACCAACATAGGCACAGTAGGGGTTTCAACCAACATAGATACAGTAGGGGTTGCAGAAGGAAAGGACAGAAATAGAGACTATTTGAAGAACGGCCAAAAACATCTCAACTTTTATGAAAGACAAGAAGAGTCTATATTCAAGAAGCTCAATGGACTCCAAGCAGGATTGGTCAAAGCAACCTAATCACACAAATCCAACCAAGATATATAATAAAAAAGAACAACAACAAAAAACTCATCTTGAGTGCAACAAGAAAGAAGCCACTTGGTCACATACGAGGGGTCAACAATGAGATTATCAAAAAATTTCCCATCAGAAACTTTGGAGGTCAAAAGGTAGTGGGCTAAGGACTTAGTGGGCTAATGTCAGTCCTCTTGCAGAGGACCTTGGTTTGATTCCCAGCAACCACATGACGGCTAACAGTAGTCCATGACTACAGTTCTAGGGACTCCAACACCCACTTCTGACCCCTATTGGTTACATGACATGGGTGCACTTACACACATGCAGGCAATACACTCATATATATGAAATAAAAATAATAAGGGGCTGGAGAGATGGCTCAGCAGTTGAGAGCACTGACTGCTCTTGCAGAGGACCCGGGTTTGATTCCCAGCACCCACCTGGCGGCTATGAACTGTCCTTAACTCTAGTTCCAGGGTAATCCAAAGCCCTCTTCTGACCTCCACGGCACTGCACGACATGGGTGCACTCACATACATGCAGACAATACACTCATACACATAAAATAAAAATAATAAAAAGAATTTTTTTTAAAGTAAAATATTTTTTAAAAAAGAATTGAGGGGCTAGAGAAATGGGTCAGTGGTTAAAGCACTGGCTGCTCTTGCAGAGGACGGGTTCAAATCCCTGTCCCCACATGGTGGCTAACAACTGTCAGTAACTCCAGTTCCAGACGATCCAACACCCTCTTCTGTCCTCCAGGGGCACTGCATGAATGGGTATACTTACATACATGCAGGCATACCACTCATACACATAAAAATAATCAAAAAAATTTTAGAAACAAACAAAAAAATCCTACATTGAGGAAACAGTCCTTCAAAAGTCAGGGAGAAATTAAGATCCTCTTAGATAAAAACTGAGGTAGGGGACAGCAGCATAGTCAGAGGTAGAGTATGTACTTTGCAAGCATAAGGCCTGGGTTCAATATGTTTACCAAAGAAATAAACATCCACTAACACCAAAAAATGGGAGGAGGGGGCCCTTCATTACCACTTGATCTGCTATCTAGAAATGTTAGATGAAATACTGCAGGTTGAAATGATACTAGACAGTAACTTGAAGCTATGTGAGGAAATAAAGATCTTGGTAAAGATAAATATAAAAATATATAAAGTTGCTGGGCATGGTGGTGCATGCATCTCTGTGAGTTCAAGGCCATCCTGGTCTACGTAGTGAGCTCCAGGCCAGCTGGGACTACAGGAAGACCCTGTCTCAAAAAAAAAAATAGAAGTGAAGGCAGGCAAGCAATCAAGCAAGCAAAAAACATTCTAAAAACTAGCACTCAGAGTCAGGCATGGTGGCGCACACCTTCAATCCCAGCACTGGGGAGGCAGAGGCAGGCAGGCAAATCTGAGTTCAAGGCCAGCCTGGTCTACACATAGTGAGTTCCAGGACAGCTGGGGCTACAGGGAGACCCTGTCTCAAAAAAAAAAGTGACTATTATTTTCATAACTATAATTCTATTTTTTGTTTTCTGCATTTATTTTAAAATAAAGAATCAATTACTAAAGTTAGGCGTGGTGGTGCGCATCCATAATCCCAGCACTCGGGAAGTAAAGCAGGAGGTTCAGGAGTTCTGGGCTACATGAAATCGCCTCTCAAAAACAAAACAAAATAATAAGCTTATGTTTCTGGACATAAAATGAAGCTGCAATTTCATGGAATCAACAAATACAAGTAGTGAGCACAGAGACTTACAGAGACTTAAAGGAGCACAGTTTTTGTATGCTCCTGGAGTTGAACTGACCTGGTATAAATCCAAATTAGAATCTTAGAATGTATTTCCATGGTAGCCACAATGAAAATAGGTGTAGAATATACATAAAAGGAAAATAAGGAATTTAGGGGCTGGAGAGATGGCTTAGCAGTTAAGAGAGCCTGCAGAAGACCCGGGTTTGAATCCCAGCACCCACGTGGTGGCTAATAACCATTCATAACTCCAGTTCCAGGGGATCCAACTCCCTCTTCTGTCCTCCGAGGGTACTGTATGACAGAGGTGCACTTATAAGCAGTGCATAACACTCATACACATAAAATAAAAATAAATTTTAAAAAATTTTAAAGGAGTTTAAGGGTTTCACTTAAGAAAAAAAAATCAGCCAAACAGAAAAGAAGATAGAGATGAAATAAATAAGGGACACAATACTGTCAGGCAGGCTGATGAGATCGCTCAGTGGGTGAAGTTGCTGCCAAGCCTGACAACCTGAGCTGGATCCCCAAGACCCACATTGTGGAAGGGGAAACCGATCCTCACTAGCTGTCCTCTGATCTCCAACACACACACACACATACACACACACACACACACACACACACACACACACACAGAATAATAAAATGTAAATAAATAGAATGCTGTAAGGCATATAGAAAACATCAAAATGATAGAAGTCTATTCTTACTAGTCAGCCTTTAAAAGAAAAGAAATTGGCAGACACTGTAATACGAATGATCCTAGAGACTTTCTGCTAAATAAAATAAGCCAGAAGCAAAAAGACAAATACTCTATGATTCTACTTACATGAAGTATTCATAGTGATCAGAACCATAGAGAAAGAAAGTAGATTAGTGGTTTCTGGGGCTTGGAAATGGGAGTTTGTCATTTGGTGGGTATAGAATTTCAGTTTAATATGTTGAAGAGTCCTTGAAATGGATGGAGGTGATAATTGCAAAGCAAAGTTAACACAGTTAATGCCACTGAAAAGGGTATTTTAAATGATTAAGATGGAAAAATTCTGTGTTGGGTATATTTTACCACAATAAAATTGGAAACAAAAAGCAATATCCCGGATCAATCTCTACTATGCCATAAGGCCTGTAGAAAAGAAAACAGGTACTCAAGAGCACTAAGAAATAACTGCTACTTCAACTGTAAACCTAAAAATTTACAGCCAATTTTGAAAGAGATGCATCTTAGCTCTGGAAATTGTTATTGAATATGTCAATGCTGTTGTAATGAAATGCTTCTTCTAATTATATGGTTATTAAATAAATAATGTTTTTTAAAGTAAAAAAAAAAAAAGAAATAACTGCTACTACTCATGTACTCATGGATTCATGTACAGCATATGTGAAAATACTGTCACACACTTAACAGAAAGTAAGCAAGAAGCATTACCTGGCTTCTACCCCAGGCCTTATTGGTGGCTTTCCCGGTGGTGGCCGAGGCAAGAACTGAGGTGAAGCTGATCTATTATTGACTTGATCTGTGTTGACCCAGGAAACTGGCCTTGGAATCTTGCTCTTTTTAGACTGGGAGATGATGGGTGACAGAAAGCTATCTTCAGCTGATCTACTCAGGTGAGAATCTACTGCCAGTCTGGAAAAGGGTGGGAAGACGTCCTCCTCAGAAAAGGGAACAGGAACACCAGGTAGTTTCTCCTCTATCAACTTATCAGAGGCACTTGAGAAGTCACCCAGGAAAGACTTGAATTGCCTTTTTTCCAACAGAAGTTTGACTAGTTCTGGCTGATAAGCTTTCTTCTGGAGGAGCTTTTCTTTTGCAGAGACTGCAGAGGATGATTCAAAAGTGGAATCTATCTCTTGTGCTAAAACAGGGATTCGGCTATGTCTGGTTACAAAGGATGACCTAACCACATCCTTCCGGGCTGGAGGCCCATGCTCACTCTCTGAAACACAATGATAGAACTCTCCATTTCTAGGAGCTATTTTCTCCCTCTTACCCTCTTGGTGCAAAAAAGTAGAAAGGTCTCCTTGATAACCTGGCAAATCTTCACTCTTGATGTCATCATTCTTAAATAGCTTATTTTTTTTCACTGCTGCCACCTGGCCTATCTGTCCTTCAGCATGTGGGTCAATGACGCTTAGAGAAATTTCTGAAGTTCCAACTGCCAAAAGCTTCATTAGCTCATGTTTTTTGTCTTGATTTGGCACCACATTAAAATTCTGTATCTTTGACACATCAAGAGGTTCAGTGGTAGCTGAGTGATCCCTTTCTGCAGTTACTAAGTCTCCTGGGAGAGAGATTTCAACACAATTCTGGCCTTTACTTAACTTCTCATCTTCATTATCTGACCCTAGAAGAATGCTTTTTTCTTCAGTTTCTCCAGGGACAGTTTCAGCTTCTCTCACAACTAATCTATTATGGTCAATAAGGTCTTTTGGTCCCAAGTCTTGAGATGTATCACCATCTCTAATATTGGGTAATACGTCATGACCAATGTGATCTACCTGAAGTCCCATATCTGTTCTGCTTCCTCCACTAGGAGGTTCACCGTCTGTTATAACCAAGCCAGAGAAGTTTTCCCTCGGAGAATAAAGTTCCACTGTAGGCTCCATGGGCTGAAGATCTTTCTTCTCTGGTTGTGGACCATAATGAAAGCTTCCTGAAGTTGACTGTGTTGATGCCACAGAAGGTCTAGGAATCGTAATCTGGAGGAGGAAAAAATGTTAAATATTATGTGGGATCTCAATCAAGATACATAGTTTGAGATATGACAGTTCAAGCTTCAATTTATAAGAGGAGCAAAGATGTTTATCAGTATCCCCAACTCATATTAAATAAGCAATGGTGAATAAAGATGAACACCACCCAAGTTCCTCTCAAAGGAACCGGACAGAGAGATTTCCCTTTATCTTGTCCTGGTCATTCCTTTAACATGTGCTATGCCCTGAAAGACTGATTCCAACAGACTGCACCATTCTGGTTCCCCTGCTTTTTCCAATTTCTGCTTGAATGTGCCAAATGGGTGGCACCCATGAGACACGAAATTCTACTGCTACTAAGACTGAAGTAATTTTAGTTATAAATGAATACAATTCTCTGTCTCTGCTGGATAGCTTTAGTTGTCAACTTGACACACCTGGGTAGAGGGAGCCTCAACTGTGGCCATGTCTGTGGGGCATTTTCTTGATTGTTGAGTGATGTGGGAGGGCCCAGCCCACTGTGGGCGGTGCCACCTCTGGGCAGGTGGTCCTGTATTATATAAGAAAGCAGGAGGAACACAGGCCAGGGGAGCAAGCCAGTAAGCAGTGATCCCCTATGACCTATGCTTCAGCTCCTGCCTCTAGGTTCCTGCCCTGAGTTCTTACCTTGGGCTAACTGATGAACTGTGACCCAGGAGATGTAAGCCAAATAAACCCTTTCCTCCCCAAGTCAGAGTGTTTTGTCATAGCAATTGAAAACAAACTAGAATATATACATATATTTTTCTCCCTCCCTCCCTCCTTCCCTCCCTCCCTCCCTCCCTCCCTCGCTCTCGCTCTCGCTCTCGACCAGGCTGGCCTTGATCTCACAGAGATCTGCCTGCCTCTGCCTCCCAGGTGCTGGAGAGATGGTTCAGTGGTTAAGAGCAATGACTACTCTTGCAGAGGACCCAGATTTGATTCCCAGTACCCACATGATGGCTAACAACCATCCATAGCTCCAGTTCCAAGGAATCCGATGCCTCTTTTGATCCCTGTGAGCATTGTACAACCAGGTGTACTTACATACATGCAGGCAATACACTCATATACATAAAATAAAAATAATAAATAGAATATTAAAAAATATTTTTGAGAAATCAAATAAACTTGAATCACTTAATGAAGACCATTAAGTTTTAGGAAAACAAAGCAAAACAAAATTACTCTAAATTTAAATCCAAATGAATTTGGAGTGGTCACAGGAGATTTAGCTTAGATCCAAGCTGTATCCAAGGAGATGAAAATAAGGTACTTGAGATCGATTTCATTTAGTGTTAGGAACATAATTAGATTTATAGACATGTAAAGCCTGCCCTAAGACCAGTCCTGAGAGAAACCACCTAACTAACATCCTGAAATAACTCCCAAAGGGAAAGACAGGCATGGTGGTACACACCTATCATCCCAGCATTGGGAGGCTGAGGTACAAGGATTTTGAGTTTGAGGTCAGTGTGGGCTGTGTTGCAAGATTGTGTCAAAATAAATTAAAATTAAAAAAGGAACCAGAGTTCTGAGGATGTTTCAGGTTAATCCAAGATAGGCTGCCTGGGTTCAGAACTGACCTCTTACAATAATTCCAGACCTATAGTGAACTTGGGGAAAAGCACTAAGTTCTATTGGTGATGTTACCCTCAAGGAAGTCACCACCTACTTTCTGAACACTTAAATATCTTTCTAAACTATCTTATCCAAAATATACTGAGGCAAATAGCAATTTTTCTAGCATATTTTTATTATATTTATTTGTGTGTGTGTGTGTGTGCCTGTATATGTGTGTGTACCATAACACACATGGAAGCCACAGGATAGCCAACAGGAATCAATTTGTTCTTCTACCTTGTGGGTCCCAGAGATCAAACTCAGGCTGTCAGGCTGGCAGCAAGTCCTCATGTGTGTGTGTGAGTGTGAGTGTGTATGTGTGTGTGTGAACTTTTTTATTATATTTACGTATGTATGCACGTATGTGTGTAGGGGCACACATTGTCACAGCTTGCACATAGAAATCAGAGGACCATGCATAGAAATCTGATCTCTCCCTCTACCATATGAGTCCTGGGAACTGAACTCAGGTTGTCAGACTTGACAACAGGCACCTTTACCTGCTAAGCCATCTCACCGTCTAGTATATTTTTCAAATAATACCAAAATCTGAAATTTATAGTACTTCACCTTTTAAAGTTACTTGAGCCCTAAAAGTGTGAAATTATATTAAGTACCAAATAACAAGGAAGATGAATACCTACATTCACAATAAGACAAAAATAGTCACCTCACTATTATATGTGATTCCAAGTAGTCAAACATATGCGTTTATAAGAACAAGGCCAGGACTGGAGAGATGGCTCAGCGGTTAACAGTACTGGCTGTTCTTGCAGACAACCTGGGTTCAAATCCCAGCACTCACATGATGGTTAACAACTATCTGTAACTCCAGTTCCAGGGGATCCACCACCCTCTTCTGTTTTCTGTAAGCAATGTACAACACATGTGCACTTATATACATGCAGACACTCACACATAAAAATAAAATAAAATAAAATAAAAAGAATGCCACACTGGTCTTCTGAGATTGAAGCTAGTAGTCACTTCTACCATTCTGAGATTAACTCACTTTAGACTGGTATATAATGCACGTGTATGTGTGATATGTAAAGAGGATTACCAATCATATATAGAAAAGATATAAACCAACTATCATATTGGAGAACGTCTTCACGAACATCTTGAGCAATTATGATACACTGTGTATAACTTACCCTCATAATATTTCCATAGCCCTTTAAATTTTATAAGATACTCTTAAAAATCATTTTTACAAATTCTAGGTAGCTTTTGCTAAGTTTTTTTCTTCTCTAATTTTAACTGAATTTTATTTTTAACACAAGTTCATAAATGAGGAAAAACAAAGCCAAGAAAAGTCATAGATAGATAGGACTTCAGAGTTTTGAAAGCCATGTATAGCACAGACTACTGACATGCAGCACATGCTCTCAAATCAGGCCTGGAAAGTCTTCAGAAACACTGACAAGATGCAAAGAGGAAAGCCAGGATCAAGAGCTGGATATAGAGAAGAGAGAACTAATTCAAAGTGTGGCTGAAAATGCTTCCTTAACCTTGGAGTACAGAGACAGAAAAGCAATTAACATGGAATTAAAAGATTTTCCAGCAAGCTGCATGCATCTTTCATACCTTTCATTTCTATAATGCATAACCATTAAGGCATAATTTTTTTCTTTTGGGACAAGGTCTTGCTATATATATATATAGCCCAACCTAGCCTTCAACTCACAACAATCCTCAACTAAGCCTCAACCTTCCAAGAACTGGGATTAGAGATGTCAACCACCATGCCCAGCTGAGGCATAATAATTCAATCATTTCAACTCTTTTTATTCCTTAGTTGTATCATCTATACTTTTCTACAGAATTACAAAAATCACCTCAGTATTTTCCATTTCTTTCATATTTTCATAGTTTTACCAATGCCTACTACTAATATTTCCATACTAATGAGTACATAAGTCTCATTTATTTTCCTTATTATTTCTTTAATTATTAAAATTAGGGAAACTGTCAAATAGAATTATTTTATGTAATTATGTTCAGGCAGAGCAGCATTATTTCTGTTGTATCGTGTTTGGAATTGGTTGTGTAAAAGAGATCCCTAAACCAATTATCAAGTCCAATTTAATTTACAAATTACCATTCTGTTTTTCTCTTGTTCAAGGACAATAAGAACCCTGGGAAATTAAACATTCATATTCAAACAGACTTCTTACAATGAAAGGTATAATATCTATCTTTAATTTTGATCTGTGAACCAAGAAAATTTAGAGGTGATACAGGTATTAGAATAATTTATTGTTCTGAACAGAGCCAAGAATAAACTGAGTTACAAACAAATTTATAACCTATTAAAAATTTACATTTTAAGCTGGGCATGGTGGTAAATGCTTGTAATCCCCACACTCAGAAGGCTGAGACCGAGGCAGGAGCACTGCTGAGGGTTCCAGGCCATTCTTGGCTACATAGTAAGTTCAAGGCTGCCTATGCTTCACAGCAAGCAAAACCTTGTCTCAAACAACAAAAGCTCTTATATTCTAAATATCTACATTTTCTTTGGGCCATTCAAATTCTACTACAGACTTTGGTTACTTTTGTTGAAATGAGGATTGACTCTAGAATCTCACACATGCTAGGCAAATGTTCTGCTGAGTGGTAAGGCTTGTGAATAAACACTGTTGTTTAAACATGATTTGTATATCACATTTCTATTTAAAAAACAGTGCATAGCAGTAGCAATGTGGAATAACAAGAGGCCACCTCCCACTCTCCCCCTATTGCTTACCTTATTTATTTATTTATTTATTTATTTAT